AACTCATGAAAATGATATTTATTTTGAATTTGGATTCATAAAGGAACATGTCTTTTATCAACTTTCAATAAATGCACTCTATTAATTGGGTCTAGCAAGGCGACAAGATGTTGTAAATGTTTTTTTTTTTTCAAAAATTTTTGTGGGTTATATTAAATTTTGTGGGATAGGTTTAGTTGTTATTATGAAAAATTGAACCTTCTAACACAACCATCCAAAAAAAGTGCACAATTTTTTCTTTTCTTTTTTTAGGTTATATAAAAAAATTTCCTCTCTTTTTCTCTCTATAATGAGTCTTGAAGAGGGGATTGGAATTTGAAACAAAAGAAAAAAAGAGTAGTTTAGAAGCAAACATTTAAGTGCAAATCATGGATATCATGTGGTTGGTGAAATTAAAGTTGAAGGAGCCCAAAATGAGTAATATCACTTTGACTTGGAAAAGCTCTAGAAAACCATAATATAAAAATAAATATTAGAGAGAGCCAACAAATAACAGGAACCATCGATCGTACTCGATCTAATCACGACTTTGATATGTTTATAACGATTTTAAATAGTATTTTTAACCCAATGTTTTTCTCTTGGTATTAAAAAAAAACTAATTAAATACCTATTCTAAAACAATTTTAAGTATTTATCTTAAATTAAAATAAAAAAAAGTGGAAATATTTGTTTTAGTCCCTAAAATTTTAGGTGGGTTTAAAAAGTTGTCATTAATGTTTTACATTTTCTTATTTAGCCTATCTTTATTGGTAAATGTTAAAATGACTAATAATAAATTAATATGAGATAATACTAAATGAATTTCAGGAAAATTTTGAAATCTTTTTAATTAATTAGAAATAATTTCTATCAATCCACAGTGTTAACTTATAACCTATTTATTTTATATATATATATATATATATATATATATATATATATATAAATAAATTAACGTTGAACTAGGATCGCTTTGCCAAATCAAACATTACTTTACTTCTATGTTCACCGCTTACATAAATTATATTTTYGTAGTATATTTAGATAAAATTCTAACTTAGAACATAAAATTTATGGCAAACACACGTCAAAATACAGACATTATATGTCATAATATGCTTGTCGATTTTGATACCTATGAAAAATGTAAGTCATAACAAAAAAGTTAAAATACTATTTTGATCTTGTACATTTGATTTTGATTCATTTTGGCTGTACTTTTGACTTCGGTTCATTCTAATTCTTATGCTTTCTTTTTGTTACTTTATTTCCAAAAAGTGACCAATTTATAGTTTCTCTTAATAAAATTTTAACGCATATTTTATACATGGTATAAACACTTTAATACAACTTTATAGCTACAATTCAAGAAAGTTAGTGAATTAATTGTATTGTTAAAATTATGATAGAAATGAATGAGATAAAAATGAAAATGAAAAGATCAAGATAGTCAAATTTTAAATTATGAGAACTAAAATAACATTTTTAAAGTTAAAAACTAAAATGAACAAAATTAAAAACACATCAATCAAAATGAACTAAAGTTGAAGTACGTAAACTAAAATAATATTTAATATGAAAAAAAACATGAATATAAGGTAACAAAACATTACTTCTTATAATGTTTTTGTTTGTTGTAACAACCATTAGAAGTAATTGATTAAACCACATTATAAACATTACTTTGCTTATCAAAAACTGCATCAAATTTATGTCTCCTAACCCACGAAAAGTACTAATACTTTGACAACCAAAGTTGATTTTGGTTTCCCATTAATTTAAATTTTTTGCTAATGTGGAAAAAAAATTAAAAAAGATGATTGCAAATTGATGGCTCAGTTCGTGTTAAGAACCAATGTATTGGATTAAATATTATTAAATACTACTCTTTCTTTTGCTTTTGTGTGTATTTTGACAAATATTTGACGAGCGCCGACGTAGGCGGCGGCTGCGCAGCCGCTTCCAGTCCCGCTGGCGGGTCCGGCCCACAAGCCTATGGATTTTTTGGAAAGTAAATAATGGTGATATAATTAATCAAAATTAATCCAAATATGTGCTATAAAAATCAATTACTTGATGTTTAGTAACTATTTTGTGTTGGTCTATCTGTTTTTAAAAACTAAACTTATAAATTTTGTTTTACACACGTGTTTCTTTATTTTGTTGTTTACTTTATAAAACTATTTTTAGGATTGGAGTAATTTCGAAAACTAAAAAAGAAAGTAGTTTTAAAAAATATTTTTATTTTTTATGTTTTAAAAAAGACGAAAAATATAATAATGAATTATGGGTACCAGAGAAAATTAAAAACAAAATCGTTATTAAATAGAGACTACGTATTTAGCATAGACTCTTAAGTTGAGAGTGCCGTTGTGTTTAGAAATAAGTCTTCAAAGGCTTATATATCTCGAAGTATTCGAGAGTGGATAAATAGATGATTATTTGAGAGGAAACTTGACATATAGTTCGTTTCACGAGTGGATGATTGTTGAGATGCAAATAGAGATGGATTTAAAAAATGATAAAATGACAACATTTTTTTTTTTTGGGAAATGGATTTGACAATTGATTTAGATTGGTTTTCCCTCCTATGTCATGGGGCATAATGTTATATGCTTGTAATAATTAAAATAAAAAGGTCTTTTTGCAAATCATTGCTCAATGCCACTCAAGTTACGGATTGGTCATGAATGCAATTTACTATTAAATTCATAATGGGGTGATTTTAATTTGATTTAATTGGTTAGGTGGTGAGATGCTTTTATGATGTTTGTTATCATATTTGCTATGGATTTCAAATTTCAAATTAAAGATAAAAGGAACCAATTAGTTTCTCTCATATGATCATATATAGCTCAACCCCACCATTAATTATGCAATATGATCTCTATATATTATCCTCTTCTTTAGGTTTGTTGTCAATGAAAATATTAAGTTAATTAAATAAAGATAATAAACAATAAACAACAACAAGGTGGGTAATGAATGACAAAATTGATCTAGTAATGCATGGAAATGAATGATGTTTGAATTAAATAAATATCTCAACCATTTTGGTGTAATTATTATAATAGCGAAAGGAATAAAACCAAAGCTAATTTTCTCGTATAATAGCTAGATAGGTCCCATCATATATTACCTAAAAAAAAAATCACCTTAACTATACACGAATCTTCAAATTTTTGATCGATGATATATGTCTTAATCATTATTAGGTTTGCAACTAATCAAACTTCTACCTACTATTTTGAAATGAATGAAATTGTGATTTAAATTTGAAAGTTAGCTCAATGGACTAGTAGATGAATGCTACCAATTTATGAGATTTTTTTTTCTTCCTTATTTTTTAGTATAAATGATATAACTCAATTCATTATCGTACGAAAGTAACTTTTTTCGAGGTCAAATATTCAAATCATTACTCCCCTTATTTAAACTTTAATAAAAGAAATGATATCATATTGCAGATGATTGAAGTATCGATATTTAGAATGGTGATATATATCTAATATAGGGTTCGAATTAACTAATCAGTTGTTATTTTTCCCTAAACAAATAGATAGAGAAGAACCCATGTTGATAAGGAGAAAACTTTGAGAAGAAAAATGGGCAAATGTAGAAAGCCTTGTTTGAATGAAGTTTGGATTGGAGAATCTTTAACATGCAAACTTTTGGAGAGATGGTGAAAAAGGATGGGAAGAAGAATATGCATTCTTTCAGCCA